GTTGTTGTTGTTGTTGTTGTTGTTGTTGTTGTGGTGGTGGTGGTGGTGGTGGTGGTGGTGGTGGTGGTTGTTGTTGTTGTTGTTGTTGTTGTTGTTGCTTGTTGTCGCCGTCCCCCCGCGACCCACCCCGCGACCAACCTCGCGACCCACCCCGCGACCCACCCCGCGACCCAACCCGCGACCCACCGCGCGAACCAACTCTGATCCACCCGCGACCCACCTGCGACCCACCCCGCGACCGATCCTCATTGGCTTGAAGAAAAAATCGGCATGGGTGAAATTTTGGCGCCTGCGGCGGGCTTCTCCAGAGTCTCGCAGACTGCCGACGTCCCCACCGCCCCCTCACTCTTATCCGCACATGCGGGGTGCTACCTGTTGAAACAGCATCCCAAAGTAATCAAAAATAGCCCAAGCATCGTCCCCAGACTATCTTCAACTATTTCTGAACCTTCCTCCTGTCGAGGGACCTGCCCGTCTGCAAGTCCGGAGGAGGATCCTCCCCCCCCCCACGGGGGCCCGCTCGCCGAGCGCAGGGACGGGGGTGCTGCCCAGCGTCGAGAGCGGGCCCCTCGGGGCGCCTCTCTCCGGCCTCGCGGGCCCCATGTGGCCGCCTCCCCCTCCCCGTGCCGGCAGGGCCCGCTGTGGTCCGACCGCCGGCCGAGTCTCGAGAGCTCGGCCGACCCGATTCGGAGGTGGACAGTCCTCCCCTGCCACGCCGAGGAGCGAAGTGGCCGCTTTCGGTTCGCGAGAGGGCGTCGCGGCCGTCACTTTTTTGGCGGGCCCAGGTCCGTCGGTTTGGGTCCTGGGCCGTCTTCATCACAGGGTGGCTTGCTGCAGGGAGGTTTGTCCACCGCCGACCGATCCGAATCGGTCCGACACTCGAAGCAGAACAAAACGACGGACCCCCCGGCGGCGCCTCCGGCGCCGCCCCGGGGCGTGCTCCGCGCGCCAGTGGATCGGGGGCGGAAAAGAGGGGGGTGATGACTGGGGGGGGGTGGATGTCATGGCCGGGGCCATGATATTTCCCCAGATTTCATGGCGCCCCTTCTTATTTCATTACGTCCCTGGCCCCCCCGCTGGGACGCGCACATGCCGCCGGTCGTGATTCTTGGACCCCCCCCTCTTGGCCGCTCCCGAGTGGAGATCCAAGAAATCCGCGCGGAGCGCCGACAGCTTCTGTCCTGTGCCGGCTTTTCTTCCTCTCGGCGTGCGACGTGCGGGGTGGTCCGCCAGCGGCGATGTCCGCTCCCCCCCCCCTCGCCGATCCTCGATTTTCGGGCAGCTCCACTCCGATTGGGCGGCGGTGGCAGGGTTCGGGCTTCGTTCGACTAGACGTAAGAGTGACCTTTCGCCGGAGTGACCTTTGGTGCGGGCACAGATGGGTCCCCAGATGGCTGAAAACGAAGCAGGAGCAGCGGCTTGCGCGCCCAGGTTTGGTCCCCCCGCGGCCCCCAAAAAGCCGCGCACCAAAGGTCACTCTTACCCAGGGTCACTCCTGCGTGTAGCCGATTCGTCGAGCACGCGGAGGACTGGCCGAGCGCTGCCCGCGCCCCCCCCTCGGCTCGGGCGGGTCGATGGCCTGACGGGGGCAGGGCTTGGCCGTCGCCACCCGCGTGGCACGAGCTGGCGCGGGGCCGCGGGGCCTCCCGTCGCGGCCAAGATCTGGTTGATCTCTCGTCAGGAGGGAAAAAAGCACACAAACACAACTAATCGTCGACTCCCAGGAAAATACGGGAACATATGGGAAGTGGGGGGGAAGACAAAAACTCTGAAAATATTTGAACATATGGAGATTGTTTGTATTTGTGTGTATTTATTTGTGTGTCCCAGGGCCCCTTCATCTCGGGCCGACCGAAAGGGGGGGATTGGAAAAGGAAAAGGGGGGGGTACGAGATCTGCGGCATGCAGCTGGTTTCGGCCCCGCCGAGGGGCCCATTCCTCGATACACAGCCGCCTCTGGCGCTGGGAGGCGCTGGGAAATCAGCCACGTGAGCTGATTCTCACCCCCCCCCTTTGCGATCCCCCCTTTCCGCCCTGCCCGCATCTCGGCGCCGCGCCGGCGAGGCGAGGCGCGGTCCGACGCAAAACGCCTTGTCTCGTTCTGGCTTCCCGAGTCGATGCCTGCTGATCTCGTGTTTGGTGAGGGTCGGCCACGCGCGGAGGGGGGTAGCGGGGGGGGGAGGCTTGCTAGAAGCACCCCTGCTGCTTCTGAGGCGCGGGCCCTTGCGTCTGCAGGTGTAGGGCCAGCGCCTGCTAAGAAGCCGCCTCCTTCTACAGTCGGGGCCCTGAAGAAGGAACCCTTCTCGTTGTGGAGGGGCTCGGTGTTCCTTGATTGTTTTACAGTTTGCCTTGGGTTTTCCTTAGGTTACCATGGGGAATCGAAGTTTAACTTTGGGAAGAAGGGGCCTCGTTCCTTATTGAGGGTTCCTTAGGTCAGCGCCCCGACGGTAAGAAGCCTTCCCCCCTTCCCCTGCCCCCCTGGTGCGCGCGCCGCCGAGAG